AAGACACAGAGAGACAGAGAAAGGGCAATGGCAAAGTCCAGAGCGCCTTTAATGAAGCAAAAAGGAGAAATTCCTTCTTTCTCTTTTATTTCCACCCAGCTACAAGCCTACATATTGTTGGTGCCACCCATGTCTGGAGTGGATCTTCCTTCCTCAGTTTGTGGGATAATCCAAAGATATCCAGAACTGTGCTCCACTGATCCATTAGAGAGACGATTCTGAATGCATTCAAATTGACCCATCACAATTAATTGTCGTATTTGTCCTTTTTTTGTAAGTTGAAGTTGAGCAGCACTTCTCACCTCCCTCTCATTTGTGAATGTTTCTGACATTGTCATATCCAAAATCGTATATTTCTGCCAATAAGTGGTCATCTTAGAAATTTCCAGTGTACATATCAACTTATATGTAGAATATCAAAATATAAACTTTTTGAGGTCAAAGACCATAGTTCATGATTCTACTGCTCTTGGTCTTTCTATTAGCACTTACTTACAATTATCTGGCTGAGTATTACAAGAATTCTGTGAAAAATAAGTATTGATTTTTTTAAGTTTAGGAGGAAATCTTAGAACTGCGCATACATTATTAATGTAATCTCATGTGTAGAGGTCCTGGGAGGATGTTCTAGTTAGCTGACAGCCTCTGTATTCACACTGGGGTCAGGTTACCCACAAGTAGCTCCTGGTGAGTAGCTGCATAATAGGCCCTAGATCAAGGCTGCTCCTACCCAAATGGAGCTATTTAAATGACCATCTTTGCTTGCAGTTCCCGTGCCCTGGATGAGAATTCCTTTGAGTTGCTCTACATATAAGTCTGTGGTCTGATGCTCCATCCTCTGCCCCCCGACATGTGTAGGACCTGCGTCATAGTCTGAAGGCTTTCCCCAGGTTTTTCTGCTCTCTGCACCCTTTATGAGTTTTAGTCATCCACTTAATTCCACTTTCATTTCTAATTCCATCTTGGCATCCACTTCCCAGTGGGCACAGACGACCATCATCGCAGCATCTATTTCAAATGAAGAAACGAGAACTTTTACAGATTGAAAGACAAGTCAAGTTTATACAGCTTATCAATCATACAGTCCAGATTTAAACCCAGTTTTCTTTTGACTGCAAAGCCTTTATGTTTTACCACTGCCTTGGGAGAAAGAGAATGATAATTAGCAGAAAGCAGCATCTTCTCATCCATAGATGTTTAAAGATCACAGTGAAATGCTATTGTTCCTCCAAGTAATATCTGTAGTAGTTAATGCTCAGAAGGGGTTAATACAAAGGTGTTTGTCTGGGGAAAAATAAATAGCTTCTGTATTTCTTGACCTGTCAAAACACCAAAGGGTAGAGTGTCTGCTTCAAAAAGTCACAGGAACCTGTAAGGGAAATTTAAAATCTTTCACCTGGTAGCATTTATAACTCTGCTGATCAAGTCTAATGCTGTGTGTCCAAAAGAATACGAGCTAAGAGTGAATTGATTTCAAAATGTTTGTTTGGAAGATTCTTCTTGTGCTGTCTCCACTCCTTCCATTAATGGTCCTACATTTGATTCTCGACACCACTTTCAGCTTCCTCTAATTGTACGCTTATTATACTGAATTGGAATGCTTTATCTCTGTAGCTGCCCCGGTAGTACATGCCACAGCCCGAACGCCTACCAGGCAAACCTCACACCTCATTTGTACACATTGAAAGGCTTTTCACCTGTGAAAAGCAGGGACAAAATATTTCTTCATTGCATTCTTATGTACAAGCATGGTGCCCTGAACTACTGGACACCTGATAAATTCCTGTTATAAGCTTTAAATAAATAAGTGTGTTTATAGCTGTTGTAAAATATTTAAAGGGCTATTTCATGAAAAGAAGTAAGACTCTCTGGGGGTACTATAAGGTGATTGCTTCATTACTTGGGACATGAGCTAGATTGCTGTAACAAAAGAATCTTCAAATAGACTAAGTTAAATAAGATAAAATTTTATTTCTCTACCATGAAAGGCAACTCTTTAGTACTGATGGTAAAGCCCAGCTATTTTGAATACAGGGCTACGATCATGATCACTGAGTACAATAAATCCTTCATTTCTGCTGGACATCTCTGCCCAACAGGCAGGATAAATGAGTATGGAAGAGCAGGCGCCCGACTGTTTGGATGGCGAGACATGGTGAGCATCACTTACTTTCCATCCGTTTGCCTAAAACGTAACCAGCATTCCGCCTTATTAACTGAGAAATACAGTCTTCAACTTTGTGTCCAGGTATCAGTTCAGTCTTTATTCCTGTGAAACTAACAGAGAACGGATATTGGGGGAACAGATAAATAGTCTGACCTACCAGGTTTCTCCAAAAATAAGACCTAGCTGGAAATAATCAGCCTTCAAAGCTGGAGGTGAAAAACGCCAGCTCCAATCCCGCTATCTTTGCCTTAGCTGCCATCACAATTACACGCAAGTGTACGTTAGGAACAGAACACATGGATCGGCTGCAAATTTACAAGCTGCTTACTACTAACTCTATTTAAGCAGGAACACAATTACCATTTGCAAAGAAAACCTAAGATCAATAATATTTCCCTAGTGGGAGATTCAAAGAAATGATTATTAGGGTTGTGGTTATAGCTCACTTATAGAGCGCTTGCCTAGCCCTTGGTTCAATCCCTTGCACCAATAAATAACAACAGAACAGAATAGCAAACCTGATAGTACCTGTGTTGTACAATTTTATGATTCCACACTATGTTTTTATATTATAGGGTATACGGTGTACAGCAAGCACTTAGATGACTTGCTTCTTCCCCACACTGTAAATTCCTTGACAAGGAGAACTTTGTCTACTTTGAAGTCAGCTCTGTGCCAGTGCACTACAGAAAAATCTGCAGCAGTGGCAGACAGATGCTAGGTGAATCCATAGTTGTTGAATAAATAAGTTAACTACTATTAAAAATTATAGACTGAAAACTCAAAGCATGAGGAAACGGACCTCTGTTTCAACAGAGAAGTTTGGATGGACGTTTACTGCTTACAATAATCAGAGTTTTGTGTTGTGAAATATTTTACTACACCTATAAAAGAAGCAGCATAAAAACAAACCACAAATATATGTTCAGTACATTATTTGGAATTTCTCACAAGCTGATAGGAGGTTGATGGAGCCACAGCAATGACAAATGTTGCATTGGGTTTTGCTTTTTTGGTACAAATTGATGGCAAACCCATTCATTAGTCTCTCACTTGAATATGAATCTTTCTTCAACTTCTAGATTCTAAAGTTATCATTTCAATTGAAAATGATCCCAAAGTAAATAATACTTTTAACCTTCTCTATACATCTCAGTTTCTAATGATAATTAAGATTCTAAGAGGCCAGGCGTGGTGGTGCATGCCTGTAATCCCAGCACTCAGGAGGCTGAGGCAGGAGGATCGTTGTGAGTTCAAGACCAGCCTGGGGTACAAAGTGAGCTGAAGGCCAGCCTGAATTGCATAGCAAGACTCTGTCTCAAAAAGTCAAAAAAAAAAAAAAAAAAAAAAGATTCTTCCCACTTCTAGGATTTGCACTGGGGAATTGAGTGACAGAAGATTAAGATTGCCAGTTGCATCCGTTCTCTCTCTCTCTCTCTCTCTCTCCCTCTCTCTCTCTCTGTCTCTCTCTGTCTGTCTCATACACGCATGCACCATGCACAGTGAAGACACACACCTACACCCTACTTCTCTTCTCTTCTCTCTCTCCTCCACACCCTCATTCCCCCCATACCTATCAGATCTTTCCATACATCCTACCAGTATTCGAACATTCTATCAAAATAATCCCTTGTGCTGTTACCCATACTTTAGTCTTTAAGGTTAGATTGTTTGATTATGCTCTCATGAATCTCTGAATGAAGCACTAATAGAATATACAAAACATCAAAATCACATGGAGAAATAAGGAAAAAGCAAAATAGAGTTAAAGGAAATTGATAACAGTTCTTTCTATATTTAACTAATACAATTATCCAAAAATAATGTTCTTGATAGATGTAGATTTTTCTCTTTTATTCTTTGTTTCTCTCTAATCTCCACTTCCCATTTTCTTTGGCCATGCTTTTATTCTTTTTTGTTGTTGTTGTTGGTACCAGGAATTGAACTCACTTGCCAGGCAGGCACTTTTGCCTCTGAGCTATGTCCACAGCCCAATGATGCTTTTAAAGGATAGATGAAAAATTTTGTATATAATACACATAGATAGATATATGTACTATTATTTTATCAACTAAAATCATGTGCTACTTGTTATTACATGATGAGTGAGGACTCACGATATTTCATGAGAAGAATCATTCTCTATACAAGTAACAATATCAAAGACTCATATACATCCTTAACAGCAATTCAGGTTTGCGTAACAGAATATTTAAGATTTTTAAGTGACTCACCTCTTCAAATGCACAGGCCATTTGCTCATATGTGAGGAATGCTGAATAGTTTTTGTAGAAGTCTCTGGAAAAACTATAGGAGCTTACTGTGATAACAGTACCATTTTGAGAAGTAGATGAAATCAGAGAGCAGAACCTATCACTCAGTGATAGATGGGGAGGCTACCTATGACCTAGTGAGTAGAGAAATTGGTTATGTCATTTCATGTGCACCACTGATGTCCCAAGTCACTGTTCAGAGAGCTCTTATTTTTCACCATGCTAACTTTGCTGTGACATTTATTTAACATTACCCCATCAAGACGAACACTTTACTTTTGTCAGACTTGACCCATTAATTTGATAATTCTCTGATACATCAATGGCTAAGGCACACATGTCATCAAGATTTCATCTCATATATAACCTGCAGGAATAGCTTGCATTTAAAAACACCATCTTGCTGCTCACCCATGTGATATATTTGCCACGTCTATGAAGCATTTCCTAGGACTACAAAATTGGCCTTACCCATCCAGCTGTCAAATAGCTCTTGTGACCTTGGTAAATTATTTAATTTTTCTGACTCATTCCTTCCTCTATAAAAAGAAGAAGTTAAAGGTAATGATCTCTAAAATTTATTTCAGCTGTTCTATTCCTTAAAGGACTCCCTGCACCAAGAAACATAAAGCCAGTCATATATAATAAAACGTCATTATTTTCTGCAATTGCATTCATTTCTGGTGAATGAAATAAAAATTAGAAGCATATTCTCTGGTTGAAAATTCTCCTGCAGTCCACTATGATGACTGATGTGTAGCACAGCATAGAGACCCAACAGAAGCACACCTAGGAGTTAAGTCTACACTGGGGTATAAGATAACAGCTCCTCACCATGCAGCCTCCTGAGGCCATTGATCAACGGTACATCACAGATCTTTTTTCATTAGCAAGTCTCACCTAACTGCTCCTCAGCCACCTGTCCCTTGATCTAGATGTCAGTCATGTTGTCATTTACTCTCTTCCATAGCAAAATGAAGTCTGCAAACATATAACATACTTTGTGGTTTTTTTTTTTTTCCACAGAGTGCATGAGTTATCACTGCCTACTTTCCAACAGCCTCTTTAATGACTTCTTTAATGATACACTTCCTATCTTTAATTATTAACAGCTGTGTGTGGGGCCAGATAACTCAGGGCTCACAGTGTGTTCTCTGCGTTCATGTTCCTGAGAAAATCTGATTATCATGATTCAATTTTTCTGATCAGTTTACCCAAACCTCTGCCTTTGATATTGCTGGACATTCGTTATTCCTGGTGCAATCAGCTGTGTTGGAGAGGGAAGGAGAGGTTCACTTAGAACTGTATTTATGCACATGCATTGTGTAGTGTCTCCCCACTAGAAAGAATAAAGAACTCATACCACATGTGCCCTTTCGAATAGTGAATCCTTTCTAAAAAATGAGTGGTAAATACTGAGAGTAAAGTGATAAGGAAGATAGCGTGTGATACCTCCACAGGGGCATCGTAGCATCTAGATTTACACTGGCTTCTCTAGTCCCCACTTATTATGTTAGAGATTCTTGCAGACAGTGATGAGGGGTAGGAGACACCCTGAATTATTTATGGTTCAAAAAAGTTATGTTATTTTTGGTTTTCTTCCCCCCAAAATATCAAGAAGTGGGCTAGATGTCAAGGTCCTAACTGAAAAGCATCCAACCAGTACCCAACACCAGGAAACTTGGAACAGGCTGACTTGCAAGCCTGGTGGGAAGGGCAGCCCCAGGGTTGCCCCATCTAAGGAGACAACATCAGCAAGTCTGTCCCTGAGTGACCTTTCATGTGGCTTAAATCTGGAAAGTCCCTCTGCATTCTCATATGTGCAGGAGGTGATAGGTTCATGGAGCTACTACCTTCATCAGTGAATTCACCATTCATGAGATCAGCCATTAAAGGACAGAAGGCCCTGTTGGAGGTGGGTCACTGGGAATACGACCTGGGAGGGTGTATCTCCCTTCTTTTTCTGTCTTTTCTGTATTTTCTGGGTGCCATGGGTTGAGCATCCTTTTCTCTTCAATGCCCTTCTGCCTAGTTTTTGCCTTGGAGCCAGCCAACCAGGGATTAACCTGTGATCCAAAATAAACCCATCCTCCTTTAAATTGCCTGTGTTTGGCATTTTTTCCTAGTGATGAAAAAGTGACTAAGACAATCCTTATAAAGCATAACTAACCAGGAGAACCCTGAAGGTAAGAGACAGATCTCAGCAGGACTCATGATTCAAAATCATAGGATATGAGAGCTAAATGGCTTGGTAGTGTATTTAGAAATGCGTTAATTTGGGAAAAGTCCAAGATGCATTTGACATAGATCCTTTCCCTGTGCTCTCCCCAGACTGGGCATGTCTACATTTGGGCCACTCAATTTGATTGATACTACACAATTAAATGCATTTACAATTAGTTCATTTTGTAATTTAAAAAAATAACAGGGAATGTAGATGTAAAGGAAGCTAGAAAATATCCAAGTCATCATGTGTACTTATTTGAAAATGGGATTAAAATTCTGTGCACCTTCCACTAGAATATTTTGTCTTGTGTGTTTTCTGTGAGTCAAGGAGAAAAAAAGTCTCATTTTTTTTTTCAAATTATTTGCTAAGCAGTTAGACCTATCCTTGATTTAAAAGGCACTATATTCATACAGTTTCTGGGTGTGAAGAAACTGGGTACTTATCTTTTCTTTCCAGTCAAGCAGTCATTTTCCTGAGAGAATTCTAAAGTTAAATTTGTCAAAAATTGTATTAACTTATCAGTTGGTTTTAAGAAATAAATTCTTAAGCATTTTCACTCAGACCACATTTTCCTGACAGAATCATAGGCTCCTGATCCAAGATGGTTAACTACTCATGATCCTACTCCCAAAAGCCAAAATACATGTTCTACTTTCTGTGGAGCCCAAATTTTTATTGCAGTATGTTTACAAAAATAGATAATTTATTCTCAGCAAGCTAGACTTCTAGATGAAATTCTGAGTCATTCTTTTTCCTTATTCTTTGAACAAATCCTCCATTTACTAGTGCTAGTTTTATCACTCTCCTGACATCTGTCTTTTGTGGACTTCTACTTCCACATGGGAACTAAAGAAATATATTCTAGCAAGATGAATTTTTCAGACACTCGTATAGTACATGTCAATTCCTTTCTTTATGTACTAACCTTAGATGTAAAGTAATTTTCAAATATTCTTCCTATAACATGTCAACAGTTAATCAAACAGGAATATCAGGTAACAAGTTTGTGAAGAAAATGATTTAAAATCAAATGAAACCTTGAATGGTGCAGATAAATGCAAATTTATGGCCAAGTTATAGTTAGTAAGTTATGTAAGTATGAATCTAGTTTGAATTCAGAATTAAAATGCAACAATTATTTCTTCAATTATACAAATCTATTTCCTTTTATATTCCATGATAAATCTCATTACATATAATTTATGTTATAGTTTCCTTAAAAATATTCTGGCAGTCCCCTATTTTTGACACCCTTGAATTCTGTCTCTTAAATGGACTTAAAATCGTGAAGTGGGATCTATAGGAAGTGCTGAGAGTAGTCAAAAAAGTTTCTACTTCTGCTGTAGCACCTACAAGTTATGTTGAACTTTGTAGTCAATAAGAAAAGGTTATCCTCATTCTCTAGAACAGCCCCTTTTTATCCCAGCATGCAGTAGGTACTTATTCATTTAAAGACAAATGATGGGAAAGTGAAAACATTTCTCCACAACTAAAACACAGAATGAGGACAGAAAAAAGTCCATGGCAAAAGGAAACTCTGACACAACACACTTGACATGGAAGCCACAGCTTTTACATTATAGCCAGTAGTAAGAAAAGTTGTCGGTTACACATGTGCAATATAGTCTATTCACAATTATGCAAAAAGATCATACTGTATTAAATTTTAAGTTATAACCTTGGAAGTAAAACCGACATTGAGATGATTTAATACATAGGGAAATTTCAGTATGTGATACAATTTTCTTTCATATTTAGTACCGAAGATAGAACCCAGGACCTTCACATTGTGCTACCTCCCAGCCCTCAGCTATTATTTTCTATTCCTAATTTTGAGACAGAGTCTCACTAAGTTGCAAATTTCCCAAGCTGGACCTGAACTTGCTGTTTTTCCAAATCAGATCTTAACAGTGCTGGGGTTACAGATATGTTCCACTACTCCTAGCTGATAAACAATTTGCAAAGATAATTCATTAATTGTTACCAAACCTTCAAATCTTTACTTTTCTTGCCTCAACTGAAAGAGGAGACAAAGAGACAGAATTAGAATGAACTAGATTTATTCAAAACTGTCCCTGAAGAAGACAGAGGAACTTCTTTGTTACTTCAAATCTCTGTCATATGTCTCTCCGAAGCATAAAGAGCTTTTATGGAGAAAAGGGGTATCCAATGAGTCCAGGTGTGGAAAACTCCCACTGGGAAGGGAGCTTCCTCTTCAGAGCAGCTGTTTCTGTCTTTTACCTCATTTTCAGGGTCCTTGACCTCCCAGGATCAGCATCCACACTTCCTTTTCATTAATTTTCTGCAAGTGAGTTCTTAGGAGCTGAGAAGAGGAGGGAAATCATGGAGGCTTCTCTTCAAAATTTAGAGTACCAAGGGAAAGAAGCGAGCTGTTAACTGATTAAGAAAAAGGGCTGGTGAGGAGAACAACTCTACTGAAGTCATTCTATCTAGGAAACCACTAGATTACAGGATGAGTAGATACAAGCTCAATATAAAATGATCAACAGCTTTCTACAATCCAGAAAATCATTTAAAATATAGTAGTAAATGAAACATTCATAACAGTAAAAAGCATGAATTAAACAAAGATAATCCTATCATGATCTATGTATAACTTGGTTTAAGATTCTCTCTGGGATGGCAAGGCCTGCAAGCAGAGTGAGTCCAAGCTCCATGCTTCCTCCATTCCCTCTGGAATGTCGGAGTCTGTGAGCAGAGTGAGTCCACACTCTGCACTTCCTCCATTGTCTTAGGGACAGTGGGGTCTTTGAGAGGAGTGTAACAACACATGCCTTTGTTGAATAGACTGGCAGGATCCCCAAGACCTGAGACCCGGGACAACAGCCATGTCCCAGGTGCACAGGTACACACCTGTCTTTAGAAGGCAGAGTAATTGCCGAGACC